CCAGCAGGTGTCAGGATTTGTAGGCTTCGTTATCTCCGGGGCTCTAAAATATCTCATGACCATTTAAATTCTCTCCACAGCCCAGAATTAGTCACCAGATGGGCTTCACCGAACACCTCTTCCCAGGTGTCCTCTGAGATTTGAGTGCCAGTCTCAGCTTCCCACCTCACCTTAATATCCAAAGTTGCATTTGTATTGTAAATTACTGATTAACTTTGGGGAGGAATTACTTTGAAATATTTTTAGAAATATTTCCTCAATGGCTGAGGCTCCAAAACTTGCCTCCATTCTTTACGTTTTGTGAAAAAGCTTCTTAACTGCAGAAATCTAAAAAAAAGTCAGAAGAAGGAAGCTGAAACTGACCTCAACTGTTCAAATGAGCTCAGGTCCTCACAACATGACACAGTTTATGAAGCCCGCTGTTTGACCAACTCTGAAGCCAGAGTCTTCCACAGTAGGAGAAAAACCCAGCAGGGAGGAGAGGCTTGATAACATTGAAATTTCTTTTGGAAGACCAAATGATTGTTTGATTCTACGCCAAATCTTTAGTGTGACCCTCGTCCGTTCCCCCATGTGCACATTTTTAATTAAAATGTTAGAAAAAAGCAGGGAGTCCAACGATCGTTCGCACATTGTCTTCTCAATGTTTAGCCACCGAGTTTCAGACAAATCCCGCACCCGTACAGTCAGCTCATCTGAGCTGCCCAGAAATAATATTTCAGGTTTGGAACAGCCAATCCCTGTGCAGGTTTGAGTTTTAATGTCTGCAACTTGATCCTTGGGTTTTCTACCCGGTGCTTTGTGTTTTCCTGTATTTTTGTCATTTGACGTATTATGTTTTAGGTCCAGTGTTTATTGTAAAGGTCCCGAGGTTATTCTGTTTAGATGTCGTTTATTGGGTTTCCCCTCGTGTCTTTACCCCCTGTGTCTCACTCAGTGTATCTGTGAGTTCTTATGCCTTGTTTTCCCTCCTTGTGTTTTATTCCATGCCTGTCTGTTCTCTCTCTGTACTTCCTGTGTTACTCTGATAGTCTCCCATCAGTGTACGTGTTTGCTCCGGCCCTGTCTCGTTATGATTATCTGTATCAGCTGTGTTCCCTCGTTCATGGCCATGTGTTTCTCTGTGTACTAGTTTATAGTTTCCCAGTTTAGTTTGTATGGTTTTGCTCTCCAGCAGTAAAGCTGTGAATTATGATTTCATTCCTGCCTCCCTGAGTTTGCGATTGGGTCGTCATCCTGCACACAGCCGCATTATGACAGCTCTCGCTCTCTTTCTCTCTCACCGTCACTCCTAAAACTTCCTCTTCCTAAACAACCAAATGTCATGTTGCCATATAAATTTTTTGATTGGTTGACATGGTGCATTTTTCCACCAACACGAAACGGTTGTTTTATTTTTGACTTTTTTTTTTTTTGCTCATAAGCAGAGAGTGCTTGCTGGTTTTACGTGACCACACTGAGTCGGGTTTTCTCTGTTCAGTACTGGGGATAAAAGAATCGGGTTTAATACTAACTAAAGTAGGTGAAGAAATAGTTGAGACACTTTCTAAATCAGCAGGTTGAGCAGGAACAGATGATGCAGCTGCTGAAGGAGAAAAGCATGATCGTCGCTCACCAGCCACACTTCCTCAGTAAAGAGTGTCAGGACAAAAAGCTGTTTCAAACTTTCAGAGAGAGATGAAGAGAAATCAACACGGATGTGAACATATTCAAATTCAAGCTAAAACTTGGCACATCGTCTTTAATGGAACTTTATCTAAAATCTGATTATCACCCAAAATGTGTCTTTGTTCTTTGAATTCTAAGATATAATAAAATCTATTTAAATGTTCAGTTTATCTTCAACAACAGGAACTTCATTAAGATCTTTATTATTCAATGAAAAATCAAAAAGCACAATTTTATATATAAAATAACTTGTATTTATTTGAAAAATATATTTAGGTTCATATCCAGGTGCACATAGCTCGATGTGTTTAATAAGGAGAAAGTAACTAGCTTTACATTGATCTTGTTGTTGTTTACAGATAGTATGTGCTGCTTTTGGCTTTCATACAAAATGTTCAGGTTAACCACCAAAAGGATCTGACGAGTTTAAAATGTATATTTTTAAAAAGCAGGTTTGAAAGCAGGTTTTAGGTTTCAATCACTGTCTAAAGTAGGGGTGGGCAATTCCAGGCCTCGAGGGCCGGTGTCCTGCAGGTTTTAGATCTCACCTTGGGTCAACACACCTGAATCACATGATGAGTTCGTTACCAGGCCTCTGGAGAACTTCGGCTGTATCCCAATTCAGGGTCTGCAGCCTTAAAGGCCGCATTTTAAGGCCGATTACGTCACAGCGACGCGACGAAGGCTGTCCCAATTCGAAGGCTGCTCGAAATGCGGCCCTCAAATGCGTCCTTCATTTCCCTGAATTTTAAGGACGTGGCGGTGTAGACTTGGCCCAACATATCCCAGAATGCATAGCGCGGCGGTGGGTGTGGATAATTTTGCCGGAAAAAAAACGGCGGATGAGGGGTGCCTGAAGAGTAAACTTTAAGTAAATACTGAATATTATGTCACTTATTTATGTGCAAATGTTTAATAACGAAGAACATTAAAACATTCCTGTTGGCCACATGTCGGCAAAGTCATGTGACATTAGTGACGTTTGTACTAACTTGGTTTTAAAGCCTTTACTTTAAAATATACGCCGTTCAATAGCTGAGCTTAATCAGAGAATGATCAAAGCTCATGTAGAAACAAACAAACAAAAGATTTTCTCCTTCATGTCTGTCAAACAAAGCTGTATGAAACGTTTCCAGCTGTTAGTATCATGGTTGCTAGGCAACCTGGGCAGCGCGACGGAGGCTAGACCGTCCCATTCACAAGCCTCGCACTTCCGGCCTTAGCGGTCTTTGAGTACGCGGCCCTTGAGGATCGTTGAGGCTGCAGACCCTGGATTGGGATACAGCCTTCAGGACATGTTGAGGAGCTAATTTAGTAATTTAAATCAGCTGTGTTGGTTCAAGGACACATCTAAAACCTGCAGGGACACCAGCCCTCGAGGCCTGGAGTTGCCCACCCCTGGTCTAAAGGCATGCATGTACCTGTTTGGCTGCTCATATCACTCTATGTAAAACACATGTGATACAAACATGTACAAACTGCTCGTGGAAGTCTGTCTATACAGCAGCCACAAACATCTCCGGTTTGGGGAAACGAGGAGATTTTATTCCACAGTTAACACAGAGACACTGTGGAACCGGCAAGCCAGAACCCAAATCCAGGATACAGCGGCTCGGTGAATGTGGTGGTGAAGGTGTGGAGGTGGAGGAGTGAGTCAGAGGTTGCTTTGTAGAAGGACAGCGTGCCTGCAGGCCAGTCCAAGTATACTGCTACTCTGTTAAAGATGAAGGAGAAGGGGACTGAGGAGAGCACAGTTCTTCTCCTGTCGTGCCAGACGGAGTAACCATCAACAGGAGAGCAGAAGATACTCCACGACTGGTTATTCCATCCAAACCAGCATTCGGCACCCTTTCCTCTCCTTCGGATTCCTTTGTAACTCACTGCTACATAAGCTCCTCCTCTCCACTCGACCTCCCAGTAACAGCGACCAGTCAGACCGTTTGTGCACAGCAGCTGACAGCAGTCAAACCTCTCTGGATGATCAGGGTATGGTTGCTTCCGCCTCAGCCCTTTCATCACCGTGTTGTAATACACCACGACATTCCTGTTCACCGTGTTTGTGTCCAGTGTGAGCTCACAGGAATCTGATGGAGAAAAAACACAGCAGGAGTTTATTATCTGTCACTTGGTAGCTTCACCTGCTGCTTGATGCAGAGACTGTTCACCAGGTAAAACCTGAATGCGTTTGGATCTTCAGTCAAACTGACAGTTACCTGAAGACACACCAGCTGTTGATTTAAAAGGCACGGTCGATGAATTGTTTTCCCTTTTTTTTTTTCAAAAACTTTATTGAGCAACAGTAAACAGGAAGTGCAGACAGTATGAAACATAATTAACATATCAGGGGTGCAACATAAAAAGTTACATTCATTCAAATAATTTGTAATTAGTGCAAAAAGTAATTGTTTTTATAGCCTTTTTATTAAGTGATCCACTGATCAATTTTTATGTAAGATTATCATTATAGTAGTGTTTAAAATTAGGCTTTTGGTTACTGTATTTGCATTTGTGGAAATAAAATTTAGCTAAGATAACGAACAAATTTATTATAAAGTTCTTCTTTTTTTGCCTTCGAAACACACATAGGTTTCCATTACAACCCAGTGTAAGTGCTTGTTGTCATAGCGATGCGTCTGCGCATCCCATGACGTAATTATTTTGCGACACGAATGCTACAACAAAGGTAGACGTGAAAGCTCAGGCTGTGGCTTTCGTCAGGCTCGTTGATCACAGCATTGTTTTTGGGGCCGTTTCCCTCGTTGTCAGGTTTCAGATGTTGTGGTTTTATTTTCGTGAACGAGACGCTCTCACGACTCATTGAGTGACATCATTGACCAGCCAATCACAGAGTCTAATGATGTCACATTTTAGTACCTGCTCGGCTCGCTTGGAACCCCGCCCACCAAAACTGAGTCGTAGGTACTAATGGAAAAGATGCAATAAAATCAGTACATTACACTATAATACATTAAATCAATAAAGATATGGTTTTCATGCTGTACAGGGATGAGAACAGCATTAAGCTACGAGGTGTTTTCTGTATACGTCTAATATGATTTGAACAGTTGTCACTGGTATAAAACATATTACACTCAGGAAGAAGCTGCACAACTACCTGACTGAGCTATGAATATGTGTAGAGTATATAAGTATTACTTCTTCCCACTCTTTTTCGAGCACCTGATGTACTAGAAGACAATATTTTCCTTCCTTTATA